CAATTTATAATCCATAAACAAGTGTAACAAGATATTTTCATTCACCTAGTTATAATCAGGGGGAAAAAGCAGTGGTGAAGGTGAAGTAAACAGAAACATGGCTCATCTGGATAACTAGTGATTAGGATACGCTCTCAGTGTAGCTGTGATGTTTCTAGGCTCCTCACTACCAGTGTCCAGTTAAACATCACGGCTACGTCTACACTGGCCCCTTTTCCGGAAGGGGCATGTAAATTTCAGCAGTCGTCGTAGGGAAATCCGCGGGGGATTTAAATATCCCCCGCGGCATTTAAATAAAAATGTCCGCCGCTTTTTTCCGGCTTTTAAAAAAGCCGGAAAAGAGCGTCTAGACTGGCCCCGATCCTCCGGAAAAAGCGCCCTTTTCCGGAGGATCGGGGCCAGTCTAGACGCTCTTTTCCGGCTTTTTTAAAAGCCGGAAAAAAGCGGCGGACATTTTTATTTAAATGCCGCGGGGGATATTTAAATCCCCCGCGGATTTCCCTACGACGACTGCTGAAATTTACATGCCCCTTCCGGAAAAAGGGCCAGTGTAGACGTAGCCCACATGTATCTGGCTCTGTACTAGAGGCTAATTCAGGAAGGTGCTTATTGTATGATAGCATGGCTCTCTGATCTGTGCTGGGACAGGTCAAAATATTGTTTTCAGTAAAACTGAGAGGAACAGGCTCTGAAAAAGGACTCTGTTTTTTCATAAAAACCAAGTTTGTGGTGTCTATTTCCATTAATTTAGGTTGGGATAGGACCATGGTGGCAAAAGGTCAGGGTTGGATTTGAGGGTTTTGGAGGGGTAGGGCAGAGAAGAGGGAGAGATTATTGGTAAACTTTAGGGCAATGTCTACACGGGCAGCTTCATGCACAAGAATGGCCGTTCTTGCGCAAAAACTTGCCTGCTGTCTACACTGCACAAGCGTTGTAAAACAGGGCTTCTTCTGGAACAGTTATTCCTCTCCCCACGAGGAATAAGCCCTCTTGCACAAGAGCTCTTCCACAAGAGGGAAGTGTAGACAGGCAACATGAATTTCTTGCGCAAGAAGCCCCTATGGTTAAAATGGTCATCAGAGCTTTCTTGCGCAAGAGAGCGTCCACACTGCCATAGATGCTCTTGCGCAAAAGCATATGGCAGTGTGGACACGCTCTTGTGGAAGATTTTATGCACAAGAACTCTTCCACAAAACAGTTCTTGTGCAAGAAGCCACCAGTGTAGACGTAGCCTAGTAGAAAGCCTTGCAAAAATACTATGGCCGGCTCTGCTTCTAATTTAAGAACAGAAGCACCTATTGTTTAAGCTAAAGAAAAAAACTCCACTAGCTGTTGGTCATGACCAGTGTTCCCTCTAAGATTTTCCATCCATGAACAGAGTGGTCTTTGTCCTGTGCACCAATATTGAGGTTACGTGTGCTTGTTCGGATGTGTGCTACTGTGGCACCCAAGTTAACCAATATCTTGTATATATATTTTAAAATGTTATGGAAGAAAGAATACTAAATAATTAACAAGGGATAATTAACAAGGTGCATTACTTTAAATGTTTTTTTATATGACATCAAATAAACAGAAAATTAATACTGCAAAATATTCATTAGCCTGCTTTCTCTGTTTACAGGCAGTCCCCGAGTTATGTCGGATCCGCAGTTACGAACGGGGCCCTCCCTCTCCCTGGTCTCCAGCAGACCAGGGAGAGGAAGCAAAGCGGCGGAACACGCGGGCAGCGGACAGCCCAGACGCGTCTGGGCTGTCCGCAGATCGTGGACGAGGTCCACGATGTCCGCACTAGCCCAGGCGGGTGCCCGCCTCTTGTGGTCCCGGGCAAGCTCCCGGGAGCTGCCAGCCTGGTCCCGGGAAGAGGGGGAGGGCTGGGGGGCATCGGGTGGGTGGCTTGATCCGTGCCAGGTACAGGGTCTGCTGGCAGGCTTGCACCTGGCATGGGCACCGTAGCCAGCCCGTGCCCCTTTAAGGGGTCCGGGGCCGGGAGGGGGGCAGACGAGTTTCCCTGGTGTTGGCCAGAGTGGCCACCAGGGAAACCTGGGGAGGACTAGCCTCCCACTAGTTCGAATTAAGGGGCTACACACCCCTTAATTCGAACTAGCTAGTTCAAACTAGGCTTAATCCTCATAAAATGAGGTTTTCCTAGTTCGAACTAAGCGCTCCGCTAGTTCGAATTAAGTTCGAACTAGCGGAGCGCTAGTGTAGCGCCTATCAAAGTTAATTCGAACTAGCGTCCGTTAGTTCAAATTAACTTTGTAGTGTAGACATATCCTTACAGACTCACATTGGCTACCCCTCAGAAAATTTTCAACAGAATTAGTACTTTGGATGACTCTTAATCCACTTCATTATTCCTGATCTTTGCTCTTCTTTAAATTCTACCATACTCACACTACCCCTAATCAAACTATGTTCTTCTCTCAGACCCTTCCAAAAACAAATGCTTTCTATAAGCATCCCTTACATCCATTGCAATGTCTCGGGAGACCTGGTTGCTTCTGTCTAGTTTCTTATGCAATGCCTATCATCATGATATCTGAGCACCTTTTGACTTCTTTTAGACTATATCATTACTATAAAAGGGATGTGTGGCAGGGGGGAGAGGGGTGCCTTCACTGAGATAACCACGTCAATGTAAAATCCTAGGTAAGGCAAGGGACAGGTTTTTTTTACTTTAATGTACCCAGCCGAGGTAAAGCCAAGGTAAGAGGGTCTGACATTGACCTTGTCTAGCAAAATCAAAGTAAAACCTCCCTTTTGCTTTGTCTTCTTCACTAGAGTTTTACATTGAGATGACAGCTATCTTGAGTAAACAATCTCAATGTAAAACACCTTTTTTTTTTTTGAATGAACTCCAAGCTTTACTTATGTTGATCTTCTATGAATAGGAAGATACTAATTCAGGGTATGTCTACGCTACCCTCCTAGTTCGAACTAGGAGGGTAGTGTAGACATACCCAGAGTCCCTTATTGTAAAACCTGACTGGACCCTGTGCTTAGGTGACAAGATATTTAAAAGATACAGAGTACAGAAACTTTCCTCCATTAACATGCACATTTAAATTCCTTCTCTTCAGGATTGTCTTGTAAACTATATGTTTGCAGACTCCATTCATATAAGCTACAGAGCAATGATTTAAATGAAGAAAAACAAAACTTTGAGCTAAGGACCCAAGCAACACTAGGTAAATCTTCTAGACTATGTCTGCACTGCACATTTATTTTGGAATAAGCTATTCCGGAAGAGATTTTCCAGAATAGCTTATTTCGAAATAACGCGTCTACGCACAAAATGCACATTGAAATAGCGCTTAGCTATTTTGAAATAGAGCGTCCACACTGATTGGATGCTGAATTGCATTTAAGGCCATCCCAAACCCGTTCAGGCAGGGCATCAGGTTACTTCCTGTGGCTCCTGCTTGAGGCTATCTGAGACGTGTGCTTAAACGGACCCACCCACCCCGGATAGCCGTTTCTCATTCTTCTGCTTGCTTGCCTACCTCTCTGAGGGACAGCAAAGCAAAGCATTTTCACTGTGTGCTTTGGTTGCCCCGCTTCTGGATAGTCTTCGGCTATTGCAGCTTGTGCTGCAAGTTATGCAGCACTTTCTGCTTGCTGTCTCCCAGGCTCTGCAGGAACCCAACCCACAGCTCTTCTGCGAGACCCTCCTTAGAGAGAGGTGGAATGAAGGAATGGGCTTCTCTAGGGAAAGCAGGGGTGAGGGTGGTGCAAGCCCCCTCCTCAGAAGGCTTTTTTCAGTCCTGCCCTCACAAAGCCCTGCCAGGGGTTGGGTGATTGTGGGGGGAGGGTTGCTCTTAGTGAGCGAGGGGGAGAGAGACCAGGAAGGTGGACTGGTAGAACTCTCAGGGGCTCCAGCACCCCTGTGATTCTCTGTTTGTCTCCTTCTGCAGGTGGTCAGGGCCATCAACACCATCCTGCTGTGCAGTCATCCGCCTTGGAGACGTGGATACCATCATCGCCGGGTGTGCCGACACAGGCTTCCCCAATTGCGGGTGGGCTATTGACGGCACCCACATTCCCATCAGGCCCCCGACCACGGGGCATCTCTGTATATCAGCCGAAAGAGATACTTTTCAATGGTCTTGAAGGCTGTGATGGATCACCAGGGCCAGTTCACCGACGTCTGTGTCGGCTGGTCAGGGAAGGTGCACAACGCACATATAATTAGGAACTCTACTGTGTTCCAGAAGCTGCATGATGGAACTTTCTTCCCTGACTGCACCATCAGGGTGGGGGATGTGGATATGCCCGTCTGCCTGGTGGGGGATGCGGCCTATCCCCTCCTGCCTTGGCTCATGAAGCCATACATTGGCCATCTCAACCTCTCTTGTGAACGGTACAGTGCCAGGCTCAGCAGCGTCTGCATGGTCATGAAGGGCTCCTTTGGCTGTTGGAAGGCACGGTTCAGATGCCTCCTCACCCGGCTGGACTTCGGGGAGCACAACATTCTGCATATGGTGGCTCCATGTTGTGTTCTCCACAGTGTGTGTGAGCAGAAGAGGGAGTCATTCCTGCCAGGGTGGGAGGCAGAGGCTGACTGCATCATCAGGGCCTACAAACAGCCGCACACTGCTGCCATCCAGCAGGCCCATCGGGGGCATGCGCATGTAGGAGACCCTGAGGGGGAGTTTCTCCTGTGGGCCCAGTGACATTCTCCCTTTGACCATCCCACTAGGGGCTTCTCCTTCATTCCTTACTGCCTTTTCTCCAGTAACCCCTCCCTTCCCCCCCTCCTTTCCCCCTTTCCTGGTGACAAACCACAAATCTGTTTTTGAAAAATTAAAAACTCTCTATTTTTTTAATGTGGGGTCAAAGAAACTGGGTAGAGACTGGGGAATGAACCTGGGAGAGGGGAGGAGAGAGGGGGAAGGAGGAGGGAAGGAGCGGGGAAAAAAACCTTGGAGGTGGGTAGAGGGAGCTGGAAAGGGGAGGAGGGATGAGGAGAGGCTCAGGACTAGGGCTGGGAGTGGTACCTGGCTCTGCTGATCCCGCTGCCACGTGTGCAGGGCCTCGGCATCTATGGAGGGATGGGGAGAGTATTGGGGGAGAAGCAGGAGAGGGAGTTGCAGCAACAGCAGGAGTGGGAGCAGAAGATGGAGCAGGCATCATGCTGACAACAAGCGAGTGCACATCTGAGCACAGAGAGTGGCCCTGCTCCTGCCAGGTGTCTCATCACAGCTGAATGTCCTCCTGGAGCCTGTGGTCGATGGTGCTGCCTCTGGAACTCATCCATTCGTCTGTGGCGCCTGTGGATGTCTCGGGTTCAGGAGACTGTCCCGGGTGGTATCGACCGCCCCCCCTCTGGCTGGTCCGGCTGTGGAGATTAAAGAGAGATGGTCAGTCATCCCTGAGGACACTGTGCCTGAAGCTTAGCCCTCATCTATGATCCAAGAGCGACAGTTCTTGGCTCAATCTAAGGAGACGTGTTTGGAGGAAGGCCATGTGCACTCTGACCAGTGGGCCCAAATGTTCCCAGGAGTGGGTGCAGCCCTGAGATTATGGGCATACCTGTGTGCCATGTGCGGGACTGCTGAGTATATGTGTGTGTGTGTGTCCTCAGCCTCCTTCTAGAGGTGGCTTGTGGAGGGAGAGCATGGGAGGCCTCTCCAGACACGCTGTGGCCATTAGTTCAAGGGTCCTCTGTGGCAGCCTCCTGGGGCTGTGTGGCCAGCAGCAGTGTGACACATGCTCCCACGTGCACAGGCTGCTGCGTGATCCCTGGGCAGCAAGGGCCAAGCGAGGAGCACCCAGCTACCCCTCGCCGCCCACCTCCTCCACACCTTGTGTGAAGGGAAAGTGATGGCATTCACAAGATGTTCCTTCCCCAACCTTGGACAACATCTGGGGCACCTCCAAAGGGAGGGGTACTGGCTCCAGGGTAAGGAGGGGGCGGATGCTGGCCTCGTCCGGCTCCTGCTCCCCCTCATCGTCTCTCCTCCCTGTGAGGACAATGACGGGCTTCTTGAGCCCAGAGTCCACAACCAGGGGAGGAAGGGACTGTCCCTCCTCGCCAGGATGTGGTCCAACTCTTTAAAATAAGGGCAGGTGTGGGGTTCTGCCCCAGAGCGGGAATTGCCCTTTCTGGCCCTAGCATATGTTGGGCAAGGGGCACCAGTTTTTTTTATGCCCTCCGTTTTGTTTTCCTCTTCAAGATATGGGTTACATAGTCCTAATCTGCCTGGTAGCCAGAGGATTCATAAGGGGAGTTCACCCTCCCCCCAGGGCTCTCTGTGTGCATGTCATCAGCACAACCCCAGCGGTGCTAGGGCGACAGCTAGCAGGCTGTTTGGCCTTGTAGGCAGTCTGGGGCAGAAGCCAGCCTGGTTGCTGACAGCCCTTTGTGGTGCAGCAATCCAGTTGCACAGCTGTAATGACTGCTAGCTCAGGTGGTTTTAGTTAGGAGGCTGCAGCAGAGCCAGTCATACACACACGCATATGCACCATCTCGTCCTTCAGTCCACACACCGCACGGCGTGTCAAGCATAGAAGAATGGAGACTGTACACTTACCTGGGTTCCTTCAACTCCGTGTTGCCTCAACTTGGTTCCTGTCACCTGCCTCTTTTCTCCAGTCACTGAGACAGTGGTAGGATTGTTTTAAACCATTCCTATTTGGGGTTCTGGCCTCATGCCAGGCTTTACTTGTGACAACCAGATTTTATGTTTGCTTTCTAAGTTTAGTATTTTGTTACATAAACCAGTTATTGTTTTAGCTATTTTTGTTTGACTTGATTAATGCACAGTGATACAGATACGGTGCAGGTATAGAACCTATGTCCTAATAGGCAGGATTCAGTCCTGGTCTAATAAGCAGAGCTTCCTATCATCTGCACTTGTTCTTGGGTGTGGATGTGACCTTTACTGGCCAGGCTGTCCGCCATCCGGACATAGACTTCCACATTCCTGCATCTAGTGCGGAGATCCTGGAGGTTGGTCTTGTCACCCTAAACCTCAATAAGGTCCAGGATCTCTGCACCAGACCAGAAGGTGCATATCTGTTTTTGGCCCCTGGCAGGCTCCTGAGTGCTGTCTGACTTTTTCCTGGGAGCAGTGGACTGGCTCATATTGCAGGAAAAGCAAGGCAGGTGCAGCTGCAGGGTGGCTCAGGCCTGTCAGGGCCTCCTTTGTGCCACAAGCCCTTTCTTCTGAGGCTACAGCTTTAAGGGCTCCAGGGGAAGGGAAGGGAATAGAGTTTGGTGAAGACTGGACAGAGCAGCCAGCAGGGCACCCTGGAAAGAGCTGGAGCCCCTTATTTCGAAATAACAGCTTTTACCCTGTCTACACAGCCCTTATTCTGAAATATCTATTTTGGAATAGATGTTATTCTTCGTAAAATGAGGTTTACAGAAGTCGGAATAAGTCGTCAATTATTTTGAAATTATTTCAAAATAACAGAATTGCTGTGTAGACGCTCACATAGTTATTTTGGAATAACAAATCTCTACTGCTGTATCTTAAGCCTGAAGTTATCAGTGAAAGGGCTTGGTCATTCTTTAAATGAGGGTTTTTCCAGGTGCACATTTAATAGAAAATTAACTTTATATTAGGAGCACACTCACTGTGCCCCAAAAGATTCAAGTAAAGAGGGGAACTTTCTACAGGTAAATTCCATATTCACCACACATGGTAGGGGGATATGCTGCCACAGAGAAAAGTATTCTCCTTCCCTGATTCCTACAAAGAGTGTATAGGGAATCACTGTTGAAAATGTGAGCACCTGTACTTTCAGCAGTGTGAAGATTTCCCAAGTGTGTCAATTTGTATAGCATGGCCTGGCTTTCTATCTATAAAACTACGATGCAACTAGCCTGATAGCATCTATTCGGGGTTTGCTCATGCTGGATGCTAAGGAATGGCTGGCATACTGTTAGAGCTTGTGACAGGGCGGACTCGCCCCGCACTCCCGGCAGGGAAGTGGCTGGGGTAACGTGGCAGGAGCTGCAGGGAAAAGAAAGCGGCGCCACACCTGCAGCGCATGCGCTGTGTGTCGGGCCGGCCCGGCCAGAGAACAGCATCGGCTCACGGAGGGGGCGAGGGACGCAGAGGGCTCCCCATCTTTAGGGCCCTGGATTGGGACCTGGAGTGAGGGCAGGCCCAGGTCCCCCTTCCACCACCGTGAATCGAGCCAATGAGTACCTATGCGTGGGGGGAGGAGAGAGTGGGATATGGCTAGAACTATGGGTATGAACTTGTGGGGCAAGAAGTGCTGACCCCCAGAACACATGGAGACATATGTACATAAATGTGGAACTACTGAAGAACCCAAGGGTGCTCTCGAAGGCCATTACACTGGGTGCGGGCACCGGGGCGGGGAGGTAGGACATGCAGTGAGCCACAGAGCAATTATGCGAAAGACAGAAAAAAAGATGTGTGGACATGATACAAGTGGGAGTAGGACTGTGTTATGGAAGTCCCCAAAGTTGATAGGTATTTGGATAAGATTTTCAGTTCTTGGCCCTCTCTTTAATGTGCCAAACAAGAAGTTTGGATCTGAATATGTACTTTCCTGATGTTTGGGGTAACTGAGAGATAGCACTTTGGTTTCAACACATCTGTATGTAAGCTGTTGTTTTACAGCTTCTGTTCTGTTCAGATTTTTATTGAAAGCTTCCCCCTTCTCTGCTCCCTTCTCCTCCCATATTCAATACATGACTGACACTAGTACAGCATGTATTATTCAGTCCAATAGTGCACTAGCGTATTCTTCCTATCCTTGGTCAGGATGAAATTTAATCTTAACCTACAAATATAAGAGAAACCTTCTGTGGCTGGGACCATGCTTTGGGAGGGATGAATGAGGGTTGTGTCTGTTACTGCCTTCTGTAGAATATTAGGTGTAGCTCTGGCTGGGTTGGGCCCATCGTGGTAAGGGCTGTTCCAACTGGACAAGAGCACCCCTGCCTATGGTGCACTGTCCCAGCCAGGATGGCACAGGCCCACTGCAGACAGGGCCTTCTCTGGCCATGCTGGAGCACCCCTGCCCATGGAGAGTCCCACCAGGCTGAAGCAACCCCCTACCCATGGCAAGTGGAAAGCTGCTCCGACTCCCACCAATTCACCAGTTAACCATTCACATCCCTAATTGGGATTGGAAAGTATGCAGTATATGAGGCAGAAGACTGCAGAAAGAGAATGTATGATTTCATGATTAAGGGAGCTAGATGTTGCCCTGGAGAACTGAATTCCAACCTCGCCTGTGTCACAGAGTTGTGTGTGCTGAACAAGTCACATGAGCCAAATGTTTCACACATGATCACTAATTGTGTGCTCACCATATTATGGGTACCCAACCTGACCCAAGGATCTGATTTGCAGACCACTAAGTTGCAATTGACATCAATGGGAGCTGTGATTTGAACATAGAAAGTGCTGTATAACGCTAAATACTCTGATAGATCTGTGTTAAGTGTCTTGTATAGGGCACTCAAAGTTACTGGATCCTTTTGACCTTAAGCACTCTGTGCCTAATTTCCTCAGTTGTCAGTTGGAATAATAATTCCATTTTACCTTTCAGTGGGTCAAAAATACATTAACATTTGTGAATCCCTACTGATGTAATGAAACATATCCCTACTGATGTAATGAATGCCCCAGAAAATCACATGAAGAAATTAATACTTCTGTTTTCAGAGCAGGGTTGAATGGTGTTTAGTAAATAAGACTTGGGAGCACATATTGAACAATAGGGTAAAATAAAATATTGAACAGCTGGTCATTCAATGAGTATTGTCTTTCTTAAGCACAGAAGGAGGCAGGGGTTCTCTGGAAAGGCAAGTATGTGACCATGTAATTAGAGCTTATTGTAAAGTTGGCACACTAAGGGGGATGAAATCAGGCCTTTCCTAACATTTGAGAGTTTGACTTTGCAATGTTAGCATTCTTTTAACAGTTATTTTGGTTGTGATTACTATGTATATAGTTCCCCCTTTCTTCCATAAAGATATGGGACCAGTTTCACACCATACTTTACTCTTCTTTGCGCTAAATAAGAGACTCACATTTTTACCAGTAATGATGCAGCTAGATAAAGAATTAAATAAGACATGCATCCAAGGTGGCATTAACACTTTCTCCTGGGCAGCCAAGGTCACTTAACCAAAGCGCAACATGTCACATATTCTACATCAGTTTCTACTTTACCTGTCTAGTCTTAATGATAATATAAAGGAGGAATGTACAATATTAGCAGTAGTGAGGGTAAATGGATTATGGAAGCGTGGGTTAATAGTGCTATCAACTCCTCCAATTTAGTATCACCTGGAAGTTATATTGTCAAGTTGTTAATCCTGCTTTATAAGGGCATAGGCCATCCCTGGGTAATCCTTGAAGATGCATTCCAAGTTGATTTTCCCAGACTGAGATGCAAATAGGTTCACTTTAATAGCCAGGGCAAGGTGAAGCCAACAAATTAGCTCCACACCTTTTAATAAGGATTCTGCTCAGAGACAATTACAATACAGGCGGTCCACGGGTTATGTACAAGATAGGGACCGTAGGTTTGTTCTTAAATTGAATTTGTATGTAAGTCGGAACTGGCGTCCAGATTCAGCCGCTGTTGAAACTGACCAGCAGCGGCTGAATCAGGCACGCCTGGGGCAGAGCAGCTGGAGTGCTGCTGGGTTGGTCCCGCAGCGCTGCTCCTCGGCGCTACTGGACCAACCCGGCAGCACCCCAGCTGCTCTGCCCCAGGTGTT